TTGTCTGCATTACTTGTTCACAACTACAGGGCCTATTTAGAGAAAGAAAGCTTCCTTAACAAGGTTGTGAACAAATTAAGCATGAACTAACAGTCGTGTAAAATTACCTGAATCATGACAATCGTGTTTTAAACACGATATTCTTTGATAGGTCGCCAAGTGAAATACCATGAATTAGCCAGGAAACAATAATTCCTAAATGTCATCAGCTAATGGCTTGACATTTTAGTTAATTATTAAAGAAATTATAATATTCCAACTTTCGGTATTGAATTGGACCTACCCTTTTGTTGTGTGACCTCAATTATCCATTGCAAAAAAAATGCTGAAGTTCAACCCCTAGCACATTTCCCACACCACTACAAACTCAGGAGCCTCTGCTTCCGAGGGCCGTTTGGCCTACACAGCCACAATACATCAGGGTTCACCCACATTTTGCCCCGCCGCACATACACAAGTCATGATCCATGTGATGATTTGATAGCCTTAATTGCAAAAGGGGAAAAGGAACCCACCCTCCGGGGGCCTTGAATATGAAAATATAAAATGTATTGCATCGAATAAGAAGAGTCAAACGAGCCGTGTTGCCTTGTGATATAGTGTTTCAATGAAAAACAGTGTCACAGTTAGATTTTGGTTGCTATCCAAAGGTTAAGCAATTTGACTCCAACACATGCCTCTATCCCTTAGTCTCAGCTTTAACTCTTAACCCTGGCCTCATCCATAACTCTAACCCCTAGCTATAATCCGTAGCCTGAATAATATTAACTTTCTCTAACTCATAACCATCACTATAACGTATAGACAGAGCAAGGTTGAGACTTAATCGCGCTTGTTGGGTGACCACCATGCGTAACAGGCAGGTGCAATGGGCAGTGTGTGTGTGTGTGGCACATGGTGTCAGTTAGAGTCGAAGCTCCCCCACCTAGAAAAATATAGGGACGACTCTACTATCGAACGTTGGACTTACGAACTTTCAGAGAATACAAACAAACCCGTTCGTATGTCCAGTTGCCTGTTCGGGCCATAAGTCGTAAGTTCAACCGCCACGCAATAGATGGTGGAGGTGGCATCTACATCTACAGGAGATTATACAACTTTTAAAGGCATTCCCCATGCTTCGTGTACATGCCGTACAACATGCTTAGAATCGACAGGACTAGAGTTGGAATTACGAACAAATCGACTTACGAACAGACCTCTGGAACCTAACTCGTTCGTAAGTAGAGGAATCCTTGTACTCATCAGAATGCTATTAACTGCATTCCCAGCCAAGACAGCTAATCAGAGGCTCGATGCTTACCCAAGCAGAGTAACATTCAGGCCTTGCCCTCCTATCCTCTCACCATATCTGTCAACCCCTTATCAGTGTCCAACTTATTACAGACCAATTTAGACCTCATTGGTTACCCCGTTCCCGTATAATATCAACGTTCAGCCTACAATGGGGCTGTCCATAAATGACGTAACGCGATTTTGGACGATTTTTGACTCCCCCCCCCTACCCCTTCGTCACACAACATCACAAAAAGTCACCCCCCCCCCTCAAATATGACGTCACAAAGCTCTGCTTCCCCCCCCTCCTCCAGAAAAAAATAAAACATGCTTCAAATCGCTTAAAACTATTGTCATTGTAGTGCGTATTTAATGTGGCGCTGCACTCTGATGTTGTAGGAGAAAACATTTATTTAAAAAAGTATATTTAATTAAGTAGAACGTGTTGTCTATATTTATTTAAAGTAGCGCATTTTGATGTGACGTCACATTTCTCAAACCCCCCCCCCCCACCTCGTCACAAATGTCTGACCCCACCCCCCCCCCAGGTGCGTGACGTCATTTATGGACGGCCCCAAAGTCCCATCACAATGGAGAAACACAAACAAACAGACAAAATAATTTTGATTTAAAGTTTTCGTGACTGCAGGGATTCATATTCTTGGTTCTTTCGGTGGTCACGTAGAAGGGAAACAATGAAATAATAAAAATATAAAACAATAAAATTCTCACGACGTTTCGACTGCAACACAAGCAATCATCATCAGGTGTGAAAACCACAGCAAGAAAATTTGAAAAAAGTGGCGGCTATTTTTAACGCTAGCACGACGGAGAGCGATTTGACTGTTTGTTCAGATGGACGAGTCCATCTATGTTCGGAAAAGAGGAGGGGGGAGACGAAAATAATGGATGCGGTCTGAAAGCCACCGTAAGCGTGAACAATCAATTAAAACCCAATATGGTTTATCAAATCCTTCCAATGATTGCTAAGCCAGAATCCATCGTCTCGGCTGAAATTGTCTCTGTGTTTGTATATGTGGATAGCCTCATGAACGAATCTCTCATGGTAGCCCGATGGCTTGCAAAGAACCTCTGTCTTGGAGAAGTCAATGTCATGTGAGTCTACTGAATTATAACAGTGATCTGCCACGGCCGAGGTGTTGGCCCTACCGTCATTAAGGTCTGCTTTGTGTTCACGAATGCGGTCCGAGACGTGTCGTTTGGTTTCTCCAATGTAACTACTACCACAGACAAAAGAATGTTGCCCTTATTGAAACGGCTGTACGGCCTATGGACCTGAAAACTCCATGTCCCTGTACAAGAATACGGGCTAAACCCGATGGGTTGACAGCTGCGTCTCACCCCCCCCCCTTGATTTTGGCGGGAAACCAATCTCAGATTGACAGCAGCGATGTCGCCAAGCAGTGAGGCGAGTGAGAAGCGGGCTGAGGTTAAAGTGTTACTTCTCGTGTAAAATGTACGTGAAATAAAATTAACTTTGCTATGAGGTAAGGGAATAGCGGGATAAGGTCGCAACATGTACGGATAGAGATTAATAAATTGAACACAACTCTGTCGCATTCTGAGGTAAATCTTGAAAAATATATTACGGATTTCAGTGACAAATGTCAACATTCATGGTAATATAGTTACATAGTTTAAGTTATTCTCAAAACTCGTTCGTAAGTGTGGCAAGAATGAAAAGTAGATGTGATCGGTAAAAATACCGTTTTGACATTTATTAATGACGTAAATAAATACAGCATTTAAAGCTGTAAAAGTCTATAAAAGCATACGACACGTGTTTTACTGTATATTTAAGCATTCGGAATAACATTGTTAAGTAGCTTACATGATTAAACTAAACTCGTTTGCAAGTTTGCATACAGTTACAAGCAAATATGACAGGGAAATATGCTGTAATTAGCGTTTTGAAGGAAACAATTAATTATCTTAAGGAGGCAAACGAGCATAAAGCATGATAATCCTTTACCAATCATTTGATAATAGTATAATAAACCATTTACGTTGAATAAATTAGATTAGACCAGAAACTAATTTGTTAAATGCTTATTTTATTAAAAGTGACTGCTGTAGTCATTTATATTATTAATGTGTCCATGAGAGTACAGGTTAAACATAGCTTTAAGAAACTTGCTATAAACGTGTTTGTTGGAACCGTTTGTTAGCTGTTGCATTAAATAATCCAGCGCTGTAGCTATTGCTAAAGAGTTTATTTGATATTCTTAGCTCTTTCGGTAAAGTCACGTTGAAGGGAAACAATAAAATAATAATATATATATATAACGTGACTTTACCGAAAGAGCTAAGAATATGAATTACTGCAGTCACGAAAACTTTAAATCAAAAGTTTATTTGATGTGCATTTATTGTTATACTGTTCAATCTTTTTTAAATGCGTTAATACTTGTTGAATGCCCGGAAGAACTAATATCTGAGAGTGGCAGCGGCGATGTTGCCAAGCAGGTGAGGCAGTGAGAAACGGGCTCAAGTGTAAAAGTGTCTATGAGCTAAAGGGTTCGATTCAAAAGAAACTCACCTGCAAGAAGTCTCCACGTTCATTTGTTGTGCGCCCGTTTGACATCTGAATTCCCCTGATTTACTTTACTTTTAAAACACATTCCTGCGGAGGGAGCTGGTAGGAACGTTGGGTTGCTCAGTCAATGGCCAGGGTCAACGGCGGTGTGGTGTATTCCGCAAATATGCCCGACTGTGAGGGCGGGCACAAACCGGCGTGAGTAGGTTAAACGTTGAGTTTTATAAGGGCACCACGGGGTGACCAGCCCCTCCCCACCCAGCCCCACCCCTCCCACCCCACACCCAGCCCCTCCCCACCCAGCCCCTCCCCACCCAGCCCCTCCCCACCCTCCCCACGCAGCACCTCCCCACCCTTCCCTCCCCACCCTCCCCTCCCCACCCTCCCCAACCCCTCCCCACCCTCCCCTCCCCACCCAGCCCCTCCCTACCCTCCCCTCTCCACCCAGCCCCACCCCTCCCATGTGGACAGACATCCACAGACATACACAATTAATCCCCTGCCTCCTGTGAATTAATCCCGGCTTCCAGTCCACTACGTTTGCTACCAATACAATTCAACGTGCAGCCACCGAACCGAACATTCGTTCGACAGATTTTTAAGTCCTGCGTATGCACCAGAGGGCAGTGCAACAAAACCAATTGCTCCACATCCCACCTCACCTTCACCAACATCACAGGTAACACTGCCCAGCACGATGACACATGTCCAAATGTGTCGCAGCCCGCAAGGCGATGGGAGGCCCTCTCACCTCAGCCAGCAGTCATGGATTGACAATGCCGGCCGTACATTATTGTTGTAATTACTGGCGAAGCGTCGTGCTCAGATTGCAAATGTTGTGGCTTTGCTCTCCAACACACCGGTATGCTGTACAAGTGATGAATTGGCAAGTTCTGTTTACGTGACAAACCTTACTAATTGGCTGTGTCGGCTGGTGGCGGGCTTAACGACACATTTATATATTTAAGCGATCTAACCCAGAAAACCTGTATCATCGATGACATTGGTCGCGAAAGCCTGCTAAGCGCTGAACCTATAATCTGCCAACCGCTGTCTCGCATTGTGACGCCACGGCAACGCGGTGCCCATCGGCACGGCTCCCCGATGAAGAACCGTCCGGCACGCGGAGCGCGGCCGCAGCGCCGCCGACGCGACGCCGACGCCTCACCTTTGCAGATGCTGCCGATGGCCTCGTAGCCCGGGCGGCACACGCACTGCCCGATGGGCACGAGCCACTCGCCGTCCGTGCTGCAGTGCATCCTGGGGTCGCCGCTGGCCACGGCGTTGCGCACGCACGAGCCGCGCACCTCGACGAGCGAGGACGAGTCGGTGCCCGTCACCGTGTCGGGGAAGGAGGCGAGTTCCCGCACCACCGCCGGGCACTTCTTGTAGTAGACGCGCACCGACACGAGCGCCACGCACGCGCCCACGTCCTGGAAGGCCATGAAGAAGCCCTTGCGGCTAAGGAGGCCGATCTCGCGCACCTCCGTGTTGAGCTTGAGCACGCGGTCGCCCACGTCGACGTGCGTGAAGCTCTCGTCGGCCGCGATGGTGTCAATCTTGGAGTAGAGCCCCTCCTGCAGCTCGGGCTCCTCGTCCGAGTCGGTCTCGCGCACCAGCAGGTTGAACGTCTCCTTGCAGGTGCGCGACACGCCCGGGATGCTGTTGCAGTCGCGCAGCGTGAACTTGAGCTCCACGTAGGCGCGCTGCGCCCCGTCGCGCCGGATCCAGTGAGTGCGCAGCCAGTTGTTCTGATTCTGCTTCATGACGTTGCACACCTGGTAGAAGCGGTCCGGCATATTCTGGTCTCCGATGCCGCTGATCTCTTCCCACTGGAAGTGAGAAGGCGCCCGTGGAGTGGAAAGGGGGAACGGCGCAGAATGAGTGATTGTCATCACTGTATTTAAAATTCACTTCTTTAGAACTGCTTTTTTGTATTCCGTTTGTTCTTCCCCCGCACCTGCGATTAGCACGGTTGACGATGTACGGTGCGAAAGAAGTTCAACGTACATACACACACATACACCGTTATCATCGGCCATGTTCACTTGCCGCTGATGTTAGCCGTGGCCAGGGTTTGCACTCGGGTCGCCGGGTTTAAAGCGCCTGGCGCTAACCACTGTGCCACCAATCACCATTGATGCTCTGAAGCCAACTTGTTTTAGTTTTGTATGCGGAAACAGTATGCAGTTTACTGTGTCTATCATCATCAGCAGCCACGTCAGTTGTCATCTATTCACTGGATGACAGCCTCTCATTGTCCTATAATGCAACAATGCACCCAGCACATGCCCGTGAGCCAATCCCATCACTCCGTCTCCACAATAGAGGTCCTCTTGGCCGCGTTCTCTCATTTGGCTGCCACTCACATTGTTATTCACGCCAGCCAAGGACATGTTATGCCCAAGCTCACTTTCTCTCCTTACCAGTCGAAAACGATAACCTCTGTACCGTTCTCTAATCTACACGCTCCTCACTGACCAATACTAACCTGAATTAATATCTGGCCGCAATTGGTCAGCGCACGGTACGACGTGCCTCGGTGTTCCCCTGGCTTCCAATTACGCCGTTTTAATCTCTACGCATTTCCGAATGACGATTGGATCGTGTAATTTTGAGCACAATAGGGCGGACATGTAGTTAAGCAGCTCTAAAATTGCTAATTTAACATGGTGCGTATGACGCCGTTGGACCCATTGTAGTCAAGCCGCGATAGGGGCAGAGCGATTGAAAGGAAACTCCAAGGTAGGACTTAATTGGAAATCTCTCCTGCACATTTGTTAGCAGGTAAGTGAGCAGACTGCTAACGCAGAACACATGTCTGACAAAAGAAAATTAGATTCCAAATGCATTGAAAGAGGTCACTCAAACAAAGATCCGAGTCGCAGTCACAACAATGAGAAGATGTGTTCGACCTTCAAGCCAATGACTCCTGTAAAGTTTGATGCGCTCAGGGCGTCCGCGGATTCCACTCCATACCATGGTTAATATATTTCATCGTATATATCATCATGAACTATCCGCTGCTAGATTAATTCAATTGCTCATCATGGCTAACGTTATTTCGGCGATTGACATCTGAACCGGCCTAGTACCCCGCACCCCTTTTCCCTAACCTGCATCGACCAGCTGGGTGAAGTATGGTCAAATCACACTGTGTGGGGGAGGCTGTCATCGAGCAGTGGAATGATTATTGGCTGTATCCGGTGTGTTATTTTTATTGTGTATATTCATACTAAACCGAGGCTAGCAATGTGGATATAAATAATCCTGACTCATGTATGCAACAAGGGAATAAATTGTAGAATGTAAATATTATCTGTGGAAACATGATGAGGCATTGATACAGCAGTGTATAGATCAGGGATGATGAAGATGGATTTAAATAGATATTATGCGTTTGGCATTTAATGTTACATAATGCCCATTATGTTCATAAAAATGTTCAATTTGCTTTAATAGAAAGAGCTTAAAAGTTCCGCGTTGAAAACTCAAAGGGAATGCCCTCTTCAAGTACGGCAGGATTGAATGCATTCCTCCCAGTGGTCTCTTGTGCAGTGCGGCGCCATGAAAAGTATTCTTTCAAAAACACACACACACATGAAACATTAAGCATAATGATCTCTCAGTGATAAGTGATTTGCGATCATTTTACAAAAGGTTTACCACCAATAGCTTCGAACGCAAAGGACAGGCAATGATGACAGTCGCGTCATGGCTGTTTCGCAAATTAACGCGAGACAATTTCCATGTTTTTCCGTCTCGCTGAGCAGCTGATGCCCCTCCTATTACCGCGCGTTTGACGGTGGGCCCAGAGCAGCGTGTCTTGTGTACGTGTCTGAGTTGCACGTGGGATGCGTTGGAAAGTGATGGCTACTGGGAAATTGTGGTTCTCAGTGATCACATTTTCTTGCTTTATTACGGCAACTCAAACACTAAATCGCTGATGGTGTTTCTTTTGCTCATGTTAATGGTTAATTTTGGAATTCTGGCTGAAAGGCTAAAATAGTTTTTGTGCAGAAGGTGTGAACAGTAATAATTCTTTGATAATAATTTGACCTTTTTTGCCTAGGTCTGTAAAGAAGCTTAAATACTCTACCTTAAGTTCCATGGACAAAGTATAAATCACTCAATTTGGCCTAAAGGAATTCATTTGTATGCAAAGAAGGAAATCCGCATCTCATCTGATTGAGTGATGCTTTACTCTGAAATTTCACAACCGAGCCACATATTAGGTAGTTTAACTATTACGGTATTTGCTATCACAGAGCCCCCCTTGGTATGCGAAATGCCCGAAAACAAATGAACTCGCTGCACATGTCTTGAAAATGACACTGAGAGATGAATGTGAAAATTACAGGAATTCAAATGTGATTTCGCTCAATCACCCAGTGTCTGTAGCACACCGGCATGGTTTAATGCTCTTCAGCCCAATACACGATACTTTAATGGTGTTCTAATCTAAGCTGAGCTTCTGCCAGTAAGGGAATGACAGGTGGAGACGGGGAAATTGCGATGACTTTTGACAACAAAGCAAGGTCATATAGCGTCAGTTACTTGGCACAAATGTGTCCACAATATGTTAATGTGATATGTATGTTTATAAGTTGGGCAACTAGTTCTTCAGTTCATGAACATACAAATGCATGTGCTTGCTAGCTATTAAGCAAATACACATTGTGTTGTTTTAGTTCAATATGTTTACAGCTAAAAGCAGGAGGACAAAATGTTACACGTTAACCTTCAACAATGAAGTTTACAAGCAAATCCTAACATTTATTTATGTTTACAGCTACTGCACTGCACTATTCAACATGGTAATGAACAAAATGGATAAAACATGTTAGAGTTCCCCCGCCCTACCACACATCTCTGCAAATAGCTGGGGAAAAACACTCAGAAAATATCGAGAGTGCCACGAGAGGCTTATAAAATGCAAGCAATAAGTAAAGTTCCCTGTAACAATGGTACTTTTCAATACACACCCCGGTATATGTTTTCCCTCGTGTGAAAAGGCTGCCCTCTGATTTCTGGTGATCATACTTTGCTAAACATTACGTGCGTTCAACGTCGGTTCGCTCGCCGTATGTTTTGACCATCAAAATGAACGTCACCACAACGTGTATTCGTGCAAGAGGACCGGCATAACACCTTCACGTGAAATAGTTGTGAATATTTAACGTTGCTCCAGAGTTGTTTGGAACCGACAGGAAAGGGCCTGTTTTGCCGATCGAATACAAACTAAGTGCGAATGGTACTGCACTTTCATTGTCAGACACGTTAATGCAGACGCTCGGTCTACACGCAAGTGGGAATGGTACTGCACTTCCATTGTCAGACACGTTAATGCAGACACTCGGTCTACACACAACAACCTCCACGTTTCCTTAAAGTTCCCCAGAATCGGCGTGCGTGCGTGTGAGTCCGTGCCGTGCGTTGTTAACTTATTTTGGGAAGCACACACACACACACCCCGTTGTTTCCGAGCCTCTGACGTGAAATGAATAATTCAGAGATCAAGCGCACAATGACCTTACAAGCCAATATTGTTGTGCGAGCACACTTAGGGTATATTACATAACCCGATAGTTGCGTGTGGGCTGAGAAACCCGTAAATGTCAGCTGTAATGTCCCACAGCGGAGCACACTTTACAGCTGCCGATCCATTATTCTGCACATTCACAGGCCCCGGAAATTCATATATATATTCAACTTCAATTCATGACTCAATCTCCCTACACTCCCCTCTCTCCTAACACCTATGGCTACCTACGTATAGCACTCACCTCCCACATGCAATGACAAATTTAACACAATGATTTGGTACAATGTTGTCAACGTTGTTCGGTGTGGATACAAAATAAAATCTCACAGAGCAAAACAAACGCAAGCAATTATTTCACGCGATTTTTTTTCAGGGTGTGCATCATAACTGCATCAAGGGAGTAGTTATTTAACTACCTGAAGCACTTTGGAAAAAAAAGATCAATTTAAAATTCCAAAAAGAAGTTGCGTGGCTAATATATGAAATTTGCCTAGACACTAGTCATTTGCAATATTTCCACCCCTTCCATATGTGTGACATCGTAATATATGACATGAATGATATATAAATGTCTTCCTTTGAAAGAGCTTAAAAACAATATTAACATAAAATATTTTCCCACTTTTCGCTAACCAGATTTACTTCGTGTACGGTATACATAAAAATACGCTAACAAGTATTGAGTAATGAATATAAATCAATTTGCTGTGTTTGCAATTTACTGGCAATTCACAATTAACATGATGGACACCAATGACAATTCACTAGTTTACAAAGACAAAGGCCCCCCCCCCGTGTAGCCTTTAACAGACTGTTGGAGCAAGAGCTGTTTAGCCACCACAATCCTCATGATGGGCACTCTGTCATAAAAGAATGTGCGACTTCAACATCTTAATTGTGTTTTAGGTAACATTAGCGGCGTGCGACCTTCTGTGAAGGTAAGTCGCAGAAGAGTGAATCAAGTTTTGGGATCTTGAGTAGCTTACGCTTGGCTTTTAAGCATTATCGTCGAGTACAAAACATTATCTCGAATGCAGCCAAGATTACTCTTAGATACTCTATCAGTTCTTTCTCCTGCACGATTGACTGCAGTGAAAGAAGCAGAGTCAAGGAGCGATATTGCATGTGCATTGCACATGCACCCCAATGCAGGTGTTCGTGACAGGCAGAGGACCTACTAATGCGGCTTTAATAGGAGTGTCAATTCCCATGCCACCAATATTCACTTACCCTTATTAAAGAGTCAAATTGATGTCGTAAATGAGAGTCATCTAAGGTTTCACTCATTTGGCCATTAATTCGCAAAAAAAATCGTTATTTTTCTTCCAAACGATTACATTATGCACACTAACCGGTAATTTAAGATAAGCTTCATATGAATCACATGCTATCGGTGCTATCAAAAGATGATTGTAAGATGCGGAATGCATTACAAATGCACGTCAAGCGTGTGTTGTACAGCGCGCGTAATAGCCACCATCAATGTCCAATATAGCACGAAATACCAGTCCACATGTTTTAATTAGCTGTGGTATTATCCGACCGTAATCACGTGACATTCAAAATAGCAAAAAGGAACACCAGTTACCCGACACTAGCTAAGCATTCCTATTAGGGCAGGGACTCTCTAGAATAGTGTGATAGGCTGATGGCCGAGCACTGTGCACATACTCCTGCTTGTATAAGCTCCTGACTCACACTGATCGCGCTATGTGGATGTGCCAGTGTGCAGGCTTCATGCCTGCGGGGTAGTTAGTCTTGAGCGAGAGGCAATATGTTTCAAGGATATTATATACTGTATGAGAAGCCTTAAATTACTGAATAAATAAGACATCCCTTCGTGGCATGTGCTTTGTTGCCATATAGTTTGGCTCCAGACCCTGATACCACCCCACCATGAAACCGCGATTCATCTCATTCGGTCCAGCAATCATCTCAAATCATTGTGAAATTGGATTAATTAATGCCCTTATTTTGTGCTAACATGGTTAAGTGTTGGATTCAGAGGATAACCACGCAGTAATGTAGAGTGGAGACCCCACGTTGTTGCATGCTAAATTAATTTGTTCAAGTCAATTCCAGCACAGTCTTTTTTGCAATTAACCCACTCCTCCAGGGATTGCAGTTAGACACTCAGGAAAGCATGTATTTTCAGTAATCCTTAACAGACATTTCTGCTTTAACAAATCCAATCTGTGAAATTCTGTACATCTGTGAGAAGGAGCTTCATACTTCATCGGATTTCTCCAGTCTGAATAAAGATTCTGATTCTTAAATCAAAGGCAGTTTGTATACCGCACAAAGAAAAACATGCTCTGAGTATTTCTATCAAAATCTAGGCATTGGTTATTTTGTAACTATGGCCGACTGATGAGGGCTGAGAGCAAAAATCCTCTTCTAGTGTGTGTGGTGCATCATAATTGCTTTTGGGAAAATGCTGTGTTGTCATCTTTCCCCCATAATCAGATGTAATCTTGCTGACTATATACAGGGTGTCCGAAATGAGTCGTGGTGTGCTTCACACACTCGAATCCTGGCAACCCGGGTTATATTCATGACAATAACACTACCATTTATTTAACCAGGAAAGGGCCCACTGAGTCTCCTGCCACAGTGGTTTTTGCATTGGGCTGTTCAGTCAATTCCATTAATGAGCGTTATTTCGCTTCCTGGAAATACACAACACTCTTGGCATCTGATAATCTGCACCTAACCTTGGCCTCCCCGATGTCGACTCATCCCGAAATGAGTATCAATGGGGAAACAAAGGCGGCCGAGCACAATTGTGCACTGCACTGGGGCTTAGTATGAGCTCGCTAATAGCACTTCGCCTTGTCAATCCCCTAGGCTGCAGCAGGGATCTTTGTCTTAGCATCCACACGCTGGCGTTGTGGGCGTGCCCATCTGCCTCGCTTGGGCTGCTCGCTCTGCGTGAACGTCACGGCTTCGTCCGCTGTAGCCGATGCGTGCGACACGCGCGCGTGTCCGTGTGCGCGCGTGCGTGGGGGAGCGGTGGCGCAGTGGGTGAGCGCGCTGCGCTACCCACGACCCAGGTTCGATTCCCGCTCACGACCAATAGCAAACAGGGGGCGGTTATTTGACGCGGTCCTGAGCCTCCCCTCGGTCGACTCAGCCCCAAATGAGTACTCGGCGTAATGTGTAAACGTCGCCAGTAGAGAGACAAAGGCGGCCTGGTGTGGTGCTGGCCACCCACCGTCCCGGCCTTCATAGGCAGCAGCACTTGCTCCCAAAAAATGTCAGGGCTACAAGGGGAATCTTAGTATCCGATTAACCAGTCTTGTGTCTCCCCTAGGTCGACTCAGCCTTAAATTGAGTCGGTACGGTGTCTAAACATCAGCGCAAGGGAGGCAAAGGCGGTCGCGCCTTCATAGGTGCTCGCTAACAGCCAGCTTAGGCTACACAGGGGATCGTTGTCTGTGTCCCGTGTGTGTGCGTCCGTGTGTCCCGTGTATGTGCGTCGGGCAGGTGCTGCGCAGTGACGCCCACTCTCTCCGTGGTGCGTCGGGGGTCAGTGACTCACCCCTGTAGGAGGAAACGCTCGCCAGCCCATCTCGCCCTGGATGCCCATCGTGTTGAGCAGATCCACTGTTACAGGAGCGGTGGAGGGGGCGGTTGAGAGGGGGGGGGGGAGTGGTTGCGGTGATAGGAGAGAAGAGGGTGGAGAGATTTGGACCAGTGAGATACTGTGCACTTTTTTGTACCAACAAAAATACAGAAAATTACCAAATATCACATGTGACATTTACAATTAATCAACAAGACATTTCTGGAGGTGCCATCTTGAACCATGTTGATGGCTGATTCAATTCAACCACGTAATCTTCTTCGTCGTGTCTCGTGTCCAACCTCTATGGTATTTTCCAAATATTCTGCACAGGCCACCGCTTCTGGTATTGGCATTGCTAAATTTTGAGGAGTGCATTGTGGTGCTGCAGGACATCTCAGGAGATGATCCATGGTTTGCTTTTCCTGACAAGCACAACCACGTAATGACGCATTGACTGACGTCCTGTCCTTCATGTAGCCAAGTGAGAACACATAGAGATTTGTTTTATTATAAAGAAAGGAGGCCAGACCTCGGAGTAGCACGTGTTTTTAGAAAGGTACACAAAGGGGTTAATGTTGCAATTGTCAATGGGTAGGCCTATTTAATATTCACTTGACAGAACATTATCAATATGTATTTTTGTTATCATAATATAAAATCACACATTAAGTTAATTTCTACGACTATAGTAGGCATAGCACTTTGATAATACATCACAGTATTGTCGTTCCTGCGAGCCTATAATGCAACCATCAACTATTTTTTAGACTGACCCAGTGGTGAATGTTCCAATTGCTGGGCAAGTTTTATTCAGCTTCACCAAGCGTGGATATGATTGTTGTGTCTGGCTTGGACTACTTTCACGGCGTGCGCCTTCTGAAAGCGAGAGTGTGAGTGGGGCATTGTGAAGCACCATCATTGAGAGCTGGCACGCAGAACACACGAACACATGGAAGGATGGCGATTTGTCTTGGTTTCTTCACCCATCCTGTAACTTGATCAATTCACCACTGAACTCAATCATGATTTCTTATTCGGGGAAAGACATTTTCCCCGTGCACTCCAGTTCTGTCCCACGCACCAAAAAGGCGGGGATGGAATTGTCCAAACATCCCAATGCCGGCGCCTTCCTGAGAAAAAGTCTCGTAATTGCGAGTTTGTTGTTGCTTTTTTTCCCCTGAATGGTGCATTGTATTGTGTACAATTAATTTTATTTATCAACGTAATAAAAGTCCAACTTTCGTGACTTACGCGCAGTGAAAACCAGCGAGTAAAAACGTACCATAACCCGTTTTCAGATAACTAAAAAAATCAGTTCATCATATTCGGAGGTGTTCGTGAATGTGCACAGATGTGTTGTTTACGGAGCCGTGGCTCGAGTGCGTGACGTGCACAATTATAGAAAATGACCACATTTACAATTACAAACAAACGGAATCATCCACCATGCGAAGCTTTCAATACGAACGAAAGCTATTTCGTTCTGCGCGCCGTGATTAACAATATTTTTAAGCGAACGAGTAACGTCTGCGCAAAAAAAAAAGAATTAAAAAAGAACGAATGAAAGCGGCAGGTAAGTGGGTGCAAAAAATGTACACGCACACACACACCCGCGTGCGCTCTGAGTTCAAAATCGCGTGACATCTGAAGGTCTTGTTCGTAATATGTACAAGATAATGGGCCGTTTGACGCGATAATACCGCAAGAAATGTATACGCTATAATTTCAGCCCTCGACACAAAGAACAAAGCGGAAAAATGTTAGTAGGCACGTATCCGGAGGAATAATAGTCATGCCAAAATGACATTTGCAGAATACTCTCACCACAGCCAACGCGAATCCTGTAAAACATCCAATACTACATTTCGCGAGCCGTATTTTTAGCTTCACAATGCACAAAGCTGCAAGCATTTGATCGTATGCGCGCGTCTATTGTAGCCTTAGAGTACGCTTCCAGGACAATGCTGAGTGTAGATCAAACGAGGACAATATCTCGCGTGCAACGGTAAATGGCATTGCGATTATTAATCGTTGACTTTCCTCTCGCGAGCGTCAACGAGGATGCGCGTAGCTTGACCACGCCGCCGTACTGTTAGCCCCTTCACGTCCATTCGGATGAGCGGGCGCGCTTCATCACGGTGCTCAAACGCGCTCGGCTCAGATTGAGCCCGAGAAGTAAAAACGATCTCACAGGCAGTCGCGACGATGCCTTCGAGAATATTCCCCCGTAGCCTCCTCGCCGGGAGGCTCGCGAAACGCACGCCGCCAAAGTTGGACGCGATTACGCGAAACGATGTGCGGGGCGCACGATCGTCGAGACCGACAAGCGAGCACGCGCCACGCAGTCCGGTGCTGTCGCCGATGCGCGGCGACACCGCGCGTGTAACTCTGGAGCAGCGTACGTTGTACGAGTTTTTTTTTTACGCGTAACAATAATAACAGGCGCGACGTGCAACGGCTATCATCAAAATGCACCAACATTAAACACGCGCCCGCGCGTTTTAACCCGACTCGCGCACGGTCGTCAAAGGTGATCGTGCCCGCGATTTAACTGAACGGCGCCAGACCAGCGTCTCGAGTAACAGCGCCACGAGCGCGCATGAGTGAGCTGAGCAGGCTCGGCAAAGCGCGAGAACCGGTTCGCGTGGTTGTTCCACGCGAAGTTATTCCCCGGGTCACCGGAGACTCGCGCAGCCTTTAACGCACGAATCAAAGCGCGCACCGCGGCTTTGACGCCGCCGCAAGAAAGCAAGTTTAACTGTTCGTGGCGAGATACACGTTGCTCTCTGTGTGTGCGCGCGCGTCGCTCTATGTGTGCGTGCGTTGTATTCACCTTCTTTGGCCGTGCAGCCGACGAGATAGCAGCCGCAAAGCAACATCCACATGCAGGAGACGAGAAGCGCGGCGGATGAGCTATTCTCCATCGCACCAGCTTGGGCCGTGTTGGGCTCTGCTCCGAAGCGCAACTGATAAGGCGCAGCGCGGCTCGATGGGTTGGGAATATAGTGGGGAGGGGGGGGCGGAGGGAGGTGCTTCACGCGCTCCGAGCTGCCAGTTATTCCTGCCAGAGAAGCGACAAGGGCGGCGCTTACACCCGTGGGCGAAGACGCAGGAGGAGGCCGTGCGCTCAGCCAATCGCGATTGGGAAACCCGGCCTTGATAAAGACATCATCGCGTTGCGTCCCCCATTGTAGGTTGATGTGTGGGTGGCATTACTCATCTGTGAACATAAATCAGTGGTGGGGATTGCTGCAATACAAAAACTGAATTTAAATGTTATTCTCAATAGCCTTTCAATGCAGTTGTTGTTTTTTTTCTTCCTTGGTTCTTTCGGTAAAGTCACGTAGAATGCGAATAAAATAATAAATAATAAAATAAATTAACACAATAAAATTCTCACGACGTTTCGGCCACTACACAAGTGACCTTCTTCAGGTGAAAGGAACAGACGACAGAGCTCTGTCGTCCCGACAGGTCTGTTCAACGACAGAGCTCTGTCGTCCCGACAGGTCTGTTCCTTTCACCTGAAGAAGGCCACTTGTGTTGTGCCCGAAACGTCGTGAGAATTTTATTGTGTTATTTTATTTTATTATTTTAATTCTCATTCTACGTGACTTTACCGAAAGAACCAAAGAAGATGAATCATTGCAGTCACGAAAGCTTTAAGTAGAAATTTAGTTGTTGTTTATTATTATCATTTGTATATGCACGCCGTTGTCCTACGCAATGCAAAACTTGAGACCGGTGCTTTTATTCTAAGGCAGCACCTACGAAGGAGTTAATATTGCCTTAATTGGATTTGTGCCTTCCTGTTTGCATTCTGTCAGATAGACGGTGGTGGAAATGTTGTGCAGTGTGGAAACTCATTCACGTCCCTGTATGACAGGTTTATCCGAAAATAATGATCCTTGGAATCGCATCGTTAAGACGTCTTCTCTTGCTCACAAGATATATGGGCAGATGCTAAAAATGCAACGCGATCCCGGCGACCATTCCGTACAGGATATTGAACAGTGCTTGTGGAAAACAGATCAGTTGAGTGGTGGGCCATGTCACCCACAGCCTCACAGTGGTCAGGAGAGTACCTCTATTCATACGACATTGACACGATTTATGATAAAAATGCAGCAAAAATCCATCACAAAGAATCGAACATTTCCAATGCGTTGCGAAATTCCCCACAGACCAACGTCATCCTCTCTTAAAATTACGATTGGTCGAGTGATTTACACTCAGGAAATTGTGTCTCGGAATCTTGCATCAAATCTATAAAATAAAATAAATCCTGCTGGCACAAAACTTTGCTTTCATGATTTAACAATTATACTAACAGTGTACTCGAGCGTAGCGCGTCGATAATCGACATGGGTGTGGATTGATGGACAGAGGCAAAGGGCAGTGGTTAGCCCACTGCGCAATGAACCCGGCGACCTAAGTTCGATTCCCTGTCATGGCTAACATTAGTGGCGAGTTATATTTGGACGGATCCAGACCCGCACAGTCACAGACCTTCGCTGATCAGCGTGATGAAGTATGCTCAGACAACGCCCATGATCGACGCTGGGTAGGGATGCCTTCATCCAACATCGCATTATCAAAGGGCTGCAGATTGATGGACAAAGCCAGAGACAGGATTGTAGCTAAGAGGAAATAAAACACTCACACGAAGGGAGGAGCAGAGTGGATATACAAACATCAAATCAAATGGAACTGCGGTATATCGCAGCTTTCCCACGTCATCAACACGATGATTATGATGACGACGATGATCTCGAGCCTATGGCACAGAGCACATGATGTTGTGATGATGCTTCTGCGTTATTAGTGGGGCAGAAGTACACATATCAGCAGGAAGAAAACTAAACACATTCGTCAAAAACACCGCCTTTAAAAGGCAATATTTGATACACAACGTGTCGCCCTATAGCCCGTCTTTAAGGCAGTGCTATTGACAATGTGTTGCGTTTTTTTATCGTACACAGCAGATGGTGATGCTATTTTAGGACACTATATACTTATAAATCGTGCGTCGTGAAACCATGGAACGTTTCTTCGTGTCTTGGCTGGAGAATTTTAAACACATTAGTATCTCCCCCTCCCCATCTAGCTTTCCAAGATGTAATCCTTGACACCGGTTGTCACCGAGTCGACTCCTGCGCCTCATTGGGGCCATAAATGAACCGGAACCCACGGAGTTCAGTGGAGGACGGGGCGCGCACCAGCCCTGGTATAAGGCGCGCGTACATTATTCATTTCGCTGCTTGTGTTTGCACTGCAGTGCACACGTGAGTGCACATTATACGTGATCGGAGAATAGAAGTAACGGAGCGTTAGCCCTGGTATGAAATTCGGATGCTACACGCAGATCTGCAAATAAGTGTACGGTGACTTTTTTTGCGTGTGTGTGGACAATTGTGTAACGGGAGCCAGGCGGCGATGGGCTCATTTATAAGGGAACCAATCGCAAATCAGAGACACGGTCTTAACTATTATGAAATGGAAGTGAGCTTGGCCAGAACACATCACTGGGAGGGGGATGAAGGGTCGGTGGGCGAGGCTGGCGACTGAATGGCAGCTAAAGGAGAGAGCGCTCCCCCAGAGGGGCCACCGTGGAGGGTAGAGAAATACGTTTACGGTTTTTTTTTAACGTCAATACATTGCACGTGAACATCTGTGTATATGTGTATACATGTGTCCGTATGTGAGAGAGAGAAATGAGATTTTGAGATCGGTTGATGGGCAGAAGTGAAATAGACATTGATATCTCCGGAACGAGAATGTATGAATACGACACACGGAGGCCTCCATCTAGCAGTGGAATCCACGTGGCTTATTACAGTGATCTCATCGAGTATTCACGTGGCGTTATATGATAGGATTTTCGTATATCTGTAGGGTTAAGCGGTGGCGCAATGGGTAAGGCACTACGCTATGAAAACGGCCAACTGAGTTCTATTCCCGGGCACAGCTAACACACGCGTCGAGTGAAATCTGGATCGGTCGTGAAGCCCTCTCTTCATCAGCCCGTACTTCATAAAGCGTGCAATCAACCGACCACAATGGCCGACGCAGCGTAGGGAGGCCTTCATTCAGCAGTAGATGACACAATGCAATCCGATCATTTATCGTTGTTACCATTAAATTCCAGGGCAACACGTTGGATTCAAAACAACCTCATTTTAAATTGGCTGAATACATTCTCGCCCGTCTTCCCTGAGTCTTATCTGTCCAACACAGGGTTGTTATATGGAGTGTGTGTGTGTGGTGGTGGGGAGCGGTGGTGTAGTGGTTAGCGCTACGCTATGAACCCGGCTATCCGGGTTCGATTCCTACTCACGGCCAACACCAGTGACGATTATCTGAACCGGTCAAGGGCCTCCCCTAGGTCGACTCAGCCTCAAATTAGTACCTGGTGCGGTGTGTAAACATCGCCACTGGGGAGACAAAGGCGGTCGGGCATGGTGCTGGCCACCCACCCCCTCGTGTACCGTTCCGGCCTTCAAAGGTGCTCGCTAACAGCACTTGCCCCCCCTACAGTCTGTCAAGGCTATACGGGGGATCTTTGTCTTTGTGGTGGCGGCGACGTACCCCTCGTGTGCCGTGCCGGTCGTAATAGCTGCTCGCTAACAGCACTTGTCCAAAACGTCTGTTAAGAATATACGGGGGGATCTGTGTCTTTACGTGTCGATCATACCAAAGAATCCATAGCCTATCAAGTCGACGGCGTTCGATAATTGTGCCAGTGGCTGAGTGCTTGATAGACTCGCTTATTTAATAACATCACCCAGATCGCAGGCTGCTCAATAATCCGACGCTCCCTTTATATTCGTCAGCCGCGCAGGAATGCGTTTCATTAACAGCGAGGCGATCAACTTTAGTCTTCATCATACATCGCGAACATCAAACAGGAACCCCCCCCCCCCCCCCAATGCTATTCTGTTTGTGTCTGATATCTACAACATCTAAAACTACGCACATCCACGGTACCTGTTGATCTCAATTTTGACATTCCTGGGTTATATAATTGCCATCTGTGCGCGCGCGCGAGAATTCTAGGAACAAGCACTGAGTGTAATTGCAAATTCTTCTCCCGGGATTATTAAAGGTCAGCAACATAAAATACCTGCGGGGGGCGAGCGGGCGGGGGGGGAGAGAAATGACAAAAAGTAGTAAACATTACATGAGGCTAATTATACGACAAGGGAATAACGCCTTTCCACTTTAATTTGCTATGATTACAAACGGGCAGCGCGCGCGTAAGGGCACGGATATTATAGCGCAAGCCGCATAGCAGCGAGCAGCCAATGCACAATCCCGTCGCATGTAGCTCAACGAAAGCTACGCTCTCTTTATAAAAAAAATGTTTGAGTTTTCTCTCTCTCTCTCACTCCCCCTTTCTTTGAAAAGTAAGGACACTTTTGTAGATAGCCTCGCGGTTCGTGGCTGCTGGTGGGAGTGAGCGTTGTTATGAGCAATGCGTGAAGTGTTATGTAGGCTGGCACTACAGCGTGGGATGGTCGGCGGTTGTGTGCCGAACAGCCTTCCGATGTGCGTTCCGAGTGGTGCTGCGTGCCCGCAGCGAAACGTCGTACGTCGTGCGGAACAGCTCGCGGGAACAACCATAACCCAAACGGGTGAAGCTACGTGCAAGTGGGGGACGAGCACACTGCGCTACGGTCCAGGCCACCGTGGGTTCAAATCCTGAACGTGCACACTTCAGCAACAATTGCTATCTCAATACAGTATCAGCATGTGTTGCCGCTTAGGTCAATTCGGCCTAAAATGAACAAATCCGGTCGGTTTCAGCGTCAATATATCATTTAATTATCTGCGCTAGGTACCAATTAACCGGAGCTCGATTCCGAGCCACGGTTCACGCCCGAACTGGTCTGGCTACCCCCGCCCCCCATTGGCTAACCCGCATTGACCAGCAGGGTGAAGTATGGTGAACCGTCCCCATGGCCGACCACGGCGCAGGGAAGTCTTGGATGTCGCGGTGAATTGACAAATAGCG